TGTGTGTGAGAGAGAGTACTCTGTGTGTGTGTGTGAGTGAGAGTGTGTGTGGACGGTGTGTGTGTGTGGACGGTGTGTGTGTGTGTGGGTGTGTGTGTGTGTGAGTGAGAGTGTGTGTGGACGGTGTGTGTGTGTGTGTGGGTGGGTGTATGAGTGTGAGGACTGTGTGTGTGTGTGTGGGTGTCTGTGTGTGAGTGTGAGGACTGTGTGTGTGTGTGAGTGAGTGTGAGGACTGTGTGTGTGTGTGTATGTGTGTGGGTGTGTGTGTATGTGTGTGTGAGTGAGAGTGTGTGTGGACTGTGTGTGTGTGTATGTGTGTGAGAGAGAGTACTCTGTGTGTGTGTGTGAGTGAGAGTGTGTGTGGACGGTGTGTGTGTGTGTGTGTGAGTGTGAGGACTGTGTGTGTGTGTGTGTGTGTGGGTGTGTGTGTGCGTGAGTGTGAGGACTGTGTGTGTGGAGTGACCCTTTGGCTGAAGTTATTCTCTTGGAATCTGGCCACTCATTTGTCTTTTTTCAACTGTTTTCCTGTTGTGAACATGAGTGGATTATACTCTCAAACACACCTTTTTCCCGTTTACAGCCAGCCACTAGGGAAAGAGTTATCTGGGCAGGAGATACGTGTCAACATTAATCTTTAATCAGTTCTGTCGTGTGGCTGTAGGTAGCTGTAAAACTCTGCTTGAAGTGATGGAAAGACACAGCTGCAGCGAATGTACTCTGGAAAGCAGCCAGAGTTTGGCTCACCTCCAGGGCTTGAAGTGAAATTCAGGCAACATTCTGCAACAAAGTGGATACCAAACCTAAGTGGATGTCATTGCAAACCCAGAAATTTGATGGCATTGGGTCTAAGCAGAATGACCCGGATATACAACACAGAAAGAGGACATTCAACCCAAACAGTCCATGCTGATGTGCCTCGTCCCATCTTTGCTCATCTAAACCGACCCTTCTCTCTCAAAGAAGTTTCCCATCTAAAAATGTTTCTGATGTTGACTTCATAGAGGAGTGGGTACCAGATTCTCCCCACTCTGTCTGTGTGTGTGTTTGTTTCTGTGTGTGTGTAGGTGTGTGAGTGTGTGTGTGTGAGTGTGTATGTGTGTGTGTATGTTTGTGCTTGAGGACTGTGTATGTGTGTGTGTGTGTGTGTGTGAGTGTGAGGACTGTGTGTGTGCGTGTATGTGTGAGTGTGAGTGAGTGTGAATGAGTGTGTGTGCATGAGGACTGTGTGTATGTGTTGGTGTGTGTGTATGTGTGTGAGAGAGTGTGAGAGTGTGAGAGTGTGAGAGTGTGCATGAGGACTGTGTGTATGTGTTGGTGTGTGTATATGTGT